GAAGCCCCTTGCCAGAGACGTCCACTGTTCTGCAGAGGACAACTGGGACTGAGGCAGCTCGCTTGTCTTTGCCACTCACTCTTACCTGCTAAAGCAAGAATCTGTATCTGATAAGGCTACGGAGACTGCAAACTGTGCTGAGTAAACAACAATTAATAGAAAAGCAGCTCTACTTGGCCTGTTCTCCTACACTCACCTGCCAGGTTAAGGACTGTGGTTTTTAGGTCGCACTGCTTTGAAATAGCTGTAGGACAACAGCTGAAGACTTCTCCATGTTGGCTCTCACGCCAAAAAGGAGAAGTAGCTGTCCTTCATTTTGGAATTCTGGCATATTTCATTTTGTAATATTCAGGTTAAAAGTCCAATGCCTAAATTAATGATATGGGATTAATTACACTAGCTGCTAAAGATCTTAGGTACAAATGAAGCCTACAGATAACAAGTTTTATTTTTATTTTTTTTTCCCCAAAATGGACTCTGAATCACTTTCTATTTCAACAGCCAGAAGTTATTAAGCCTATAGTAAGACTCAAACCTAACAACTTACCAGTACTCGAAACAGTAACAGTGTTGAGGGAGAAAAAGCAACAGCTACACTTGTAGATGTTCCTTTTCTTTTTGCTGCAACATACTGAAAAAAAAATGATACTTTATTACTACGATCCTAGTGTTTCAAGGAAACAGAATGGAAGGATTTATCAGTTAGTTACAATAAAAATATTTATGTATAATAAAAGGGAATCCTTTATTAGATTTTAGATTTTAATCCTTTATAAAGTATTAGAATTTATGTTTGCTATTAGGTCTTCCTAGTTATAGATGAATATTACAAATTTCTCAGGGAGGAGGGAGAAAAAAATATATGCTATATATTTAAGAAGATGTGTGATGGAGAATGTAACCTGTTTAAATGTCCTGTTAAGGTCATCTCCTGCATTTAACTAATTGTTTCCTCTTTCCTCTTTTCTTCCTATAAAGCAATGTTTTATACTTCCCACAAAGTTAAGTTAAAAGGATGATGCATATTACATTTCACAAGTTTTAACACCTATTATGAGGTGCAGGTTGAGTTATTTGTAGCAACTAATATACTTAGTAAATACACAGTCTTCCATTCTATGTACTGTACACACAAAAAAAAATGTTTTAAGAATGTTATTATTCTAGAAACTTTAAACACTGAAAATTTCAGCTCCTGTGACAAAACTGCTAGATCAGAACTTCACCTATTTCTGCCTTCGGCAGCGGGCAGCACCAGGCATTTCACACAGTGCGAGAAGCACACAGGATAAGATGTGTCCATCTGCCACCTGCATCAGATCTTTCCCTCAATCTCTCATAGTTAAAATTTGACTAAACACCCTGAAATATGAGGGTAAAAAAAACCTCTCAAAACACTTGAGCATAAACTATTCTAACTTAAAATATCCCTAAGTCCTTTTCTGAATTTCACAGACTTCTTTACCCAAGTCATGTCCAAGAAACTTTTAATGTCTTCAGCTGTTATTTCTAAGGTATATCTGACTGACTGAGTTACATAGAATTTTTTCTGCTTACAAATCAGATAAAGCAGTGTTTAAGTATGAATAGAGCTGTGAATCATTTCAGGATGACCTTGGGAAGTTATTAAGATGTGAATGAGTTCTCATTAACTTTCTATGAACATTAAAAAAACCCAGAAAACATAGATGCTTACATACACGTACTCTGAAGAATGTAAAAAAGTGAAAGAACCGAAAAAAATGTTAATGTAAAATTATTTAGAAGGATTTAGGAACACAGCCAGGGAGACATTGTTTTCCATTTATTTACTTAATATCAACCCAGCTTTACACTACACAGCAAATAACAAAATTCAACAAAATTTTTTGTTGCTTCCCCTGTAGGTCTCAGAAATCCTTTCTCACAGTGGAAGTATGGACAGACAAAGTAAAGGTGATATCCCTTTAATAAAGTTTTGTATGCAGAAATCTCCTTCTTATCAATTTTTACATTTAAACTGGAAGCTCCTTTAAAGGGCACACCTAAAATGCATATTTTGCTGCTACAGCAAGACCTTGTGGGGTTTTTTTTTGTGATTGTCTTAGAGCTAGAGAGAAATCTTCATGAATTAGCTCTCAAAGCTAAACTTACATTTGTATATATGTATATAAAGTGAAATAATATACCTTATCTCATTTTCCTCTTGACAGTCATGACACTGTGTAGTTTCATCACTTTCTGGTCTAGATTTGGGATGTGTTTTCTAGGAAGAAAATGCATTAAATATAAATATTCTAAAGCTTTCTTTAACAACTCCCTAAACAATTGTATGTTTCAGTTTGCTTCAAATCTTCAATATTTATCAAAGTTATCTTGCACAAAATGTAGGCCAAATCTTGTCCTCTAACATACATCTGCTACTGGTATAATTTTACTATCAAAGCTTTTGTATTTTAGACAGAGGCACAAGGGGTAAAAGAAAAAGAATCCTCCTCTGATGATATAATAGAACCAAGAAATTGAGGGAATCCATGCTTTTAATTTCCAATTAGACAGCTATCATGCTGATAAGACAGGACTTGCACTTTGCTGGTGGAATTCAAGAATTTGACAACATAGATTTACATTCGCATGTCACACAGTTCAGTGAAGATCAAAGGAGATGGCTCTTGCTTTCAAATGCAGAATGGTTCTGTTCTTCCCGCCTCCTCATAGCTAAGAAATGTAGTATCATTATGTAAACAATTAAATGTAGTATTTCTTACCTTCCAGTATATGGCTCCCAAAACAAAGCCAATAAAAAGAGACAGCAATGATGTCAGTGCTATGCTGATCCCTTGCAGGCTGGAGCTGCTAATGAAGCCAAGTGCCTCTTCTGTAATTACAGATGTTCTCGTTAGTGAAGACAGATTTATAGCAGAAAACTATCTTCAGGGCAACACTATTAGCAAGAGCACTTTTATGCATCACCTACAAAAATCTTAAACAGCAGAACAGATACTTCAAAGTGCTGTGTACATGAGGTGCACTTCATACAAAGTCTCACAGGACATTTTTGACCACAAGGATGGTCATTCCATTTCTGAAACAGCTGTGTGGAATAGTTTCAACAGTTTTGTCATTTGTAGAGCATTTTCTCCTTCCTGCACTTCAAAATTCTGAGTTTATCAATTTTTAAAGGTCCTATTGTGTAAAACAAAGTAATTCTTTGGAAGAGAATATATCTGTCACTTCATGTACTTGCTTAAGTTCCGTAAGACACATCCCACTGACTGCAGATAGACACTTTGCCTTGCCGCTAATGAACGACCAAGATGAGGCTTCTCGAGGAAGGTTAATTTAACAAAATAAGCATGACTTCACTTCTAATGCCTGTCTGGAAAGGTCTCGCTAATTTCACTAGGATCAAACCCTTGTACCTTGAAATCTAGCTGTGTGTTATTTTGTTGTAACCATTTCTTGAGAGCTTTCTACATTTTTTACGGAAGAGCCCCAATCCTAGTCTTTCACATACACAAGCAATGCCATGGCTCTCACAGGGAGCTGTATGCATGTTGAGACTAAAATGTGGCTCTCAAGAGCAGGATGTGAAAAATCCTACAGAGTCACCCTGGGATCCACCTTCTGAAATGCAAAGTGAGCCATGGGAGACTGCTAGTTTAGACACTATCCACCCAGTTTCAGTTCATTTCAAGACTCGGTGTCTGCGGCTCGAATGGTGGGTGTACTGTCAGATTACAGGAAAAGAACCAAACTGTAAGAACTGGAAAAGCGTAGGTGATTAGATACAGAAATGAAAACGTACTGGTAGCACTAGAAATTTCTGTGACATGCAAACTGCAAACGTCTAAGCACATACGGTGTGATACACTGAGTCAAACAATGTGCATTTAGTAGGTTATTAAACAGTCTCTAAGAAAACACTTTAGTTTAGAAAGGAGCATTCTCATAATGAACTAGCAACTCATTTTCAACTCTCTGAGATTTTCTGGTTGTCATTTTGCAAGCTTTTACACAAACGTCCTTTTTATCTCTGAAATTCAGCTGTGTTTTCTGGAGCCATGGTAGACAGAACTACAAAGTAAGAAAAGAAAAAGTCTGTATCTGATACACCGATATACTACATGTATCTCTGTCTCTCGTACACTGTTTACAAACTCTAGGTTCTGACTATATGAGCTTGAATTTTACTTATATCCAGCAGACTCGGCACACTGAAAGGAAACATGGGCCAAGCAGAACCGATGCTAGCTTACCATGAAAGAAATCTGTCTACAGAGGAGAAGGGAAAGATAGCAGACAAAGTTCTACGGAGGAGAACATCAGCTGAAAAAGAGAGGCTATCGATTAGTCTGCCTCTGACTGCTCAGACATTAAAACCAAGAGCAGAAATTAAATAGAGCGGTATATTTTTTCTCAAACTGTCTGTCCCAGATTAGGCATAGAGGAGGTTTGCTCGCAGAACTGACCTTCAAGAAATCTGGACAAACTCCAGTGGAGTAAAGCCAGTCTGAACATCTCAAAAAAAAAAAAAAAAAAAAAAAAAATCCTGTCATTACTTTATCTGAATTGTATTCTCAGAAGAAAATTCCTATATTGCTCTTGTGCTCTAGTCAAGAAAAATGCAACACTGATTTGCCTAATACCATTAGCCATTCTTCCCAGTGAGACGCCACTGAGTTATACAACTGAATTATGTAAATCCTATGGGGATGGTCATGTTTTCTGGAATCTGCCCTGCATACTTCAGAAAAAAATTAAAAGTGAAATAAAAATCAAAGGAAAAACTCTTCAGGTCACATAGAGCATAATTTATTTGATAACATGTTATGGTAGAATGTATAAGCTCTAAAATCCTCTGCCTACTCTGCAATGCTGGGCAGCATGTCATGGCAAGTATGCTGATTTTTACATGACCTTCTAAAGAAATGTTCTGTATGCAGGGCGATCAGTGATAGTCTAGAATCTACATTTTTACCATTATTTTTCACAAACTTCAGAAAGTCTTAGACAACGGAGAAGCTCCCTTTACAACGAGATAGCTAAAAGTGGTAAAAACTGTTTTCTGAGAAGGCATCTCCAATGCAGATGCTTTCTTCAGCGTCTATGAAAAACTGAAAGGAATTCATAATTAGCTTTTCGTGTGAGGATCTGCAACCAGGGACAGAGCCTAAATACAGTCAAATTGTGACACTCTCCCCAGCCTACCCTTTAAAGATAGCATCAGATTTTTTTTCATAACTTGATAGTGTATGAATCACAGAATGTTAGGTATTGGAAGGGACCTCAAAGGATCATCGAGTCCAATCCCCCTGCCGGAGCAGGACCACCTAGATCAGATCACACAAGAACACGTCCAGGCAGGTTTCGAACATCTCCAGAGAAGGAGACTCCACAACCTCTCTGGGCAGCCTGTTCCAGTGTTCTGTTACCCTTACTGGGAAGAAATTCTTCCTCATGTTAAAGTGAAACCTCCTATGTTCCAGCTTATATCCATTTCCCCTTGTCCTATCATTGGATGCCACTGAGAAGAGCCTGGCTCCATCCTCATGACAGTCACCCTTTACATATTTATAAACATTAATGAGGTCCCCCCCTCAGTCTCCTGAGCTAAAGAGACCCAGCTCCCTCAGCCTTTCCTCATAAGGGAGATCTCCACACCCTTAATCATCTTTGTGGCCCTACGCTGGACTCTCTCAAGCAGTTCCCTGTCCTTCTTGAACTGAGGGGCCCAGAACTGGACACAATATTCCAGATGTGGCCTCACCAGGGCAGAGTAGAGGGGGAGGAGAACCTCTCTCGACCTACTAACCATACCCCTTCTAATACACCCTGGGATGCCATTGGCCTTTTTGGCCACAAGGGCACATTGCTGGCTCATGGTCATCCTGCTGTCCACCAGGACCCCCAGGTCCCTTTCCCCTGTGCTGTTCCCCAACAGTTCAGTCCCCCAAACTTGTACTGGTACATGGGGTTGTTCTTACCCAGATGCAAGACTCTACACTTGCCCTTGTTGTATTTCATTAAATTTCTCCCTGCCCAACTCTCCAGCCTGTCCAGGTCTCTCTGAATGGCAGCACAGCCTTCAGGTGTGTCAGCCACTCTTCCCAGTTTAGTGTCATCAGCAAACTTGCTGACCATGCACTCTATTCCCTCATCCAAATCATTGATGAATATGTTGAACAATACATGTCCCAGTACCGACCCTTGAGGGACTCCACTGGATACAGGCCTCCAACTGGACTTTGTCCCATTGACCATTACTCTCTGGCTTCTATCCTTCAGCCAGTTCACAATCCACCTCACTACCCGATCATCCAGCCCACGCTTCCTCAGTTTAGCTGTGAGGATGCCGTGGGAGACTGTGTCAAATGCTTTACTGAAGTCAAGACAGACCACATCCACTGCTCTACCATCATCCACCCGCTGGATGATGTCCTCATAAAAGGCTATCAGGTTTGTCAAGCACGATTTCCCCTTAGTGAAGCCATGTTGACTGCCCCTAATGACCCTCTTATCCTTGATATGCCTAGAGACAGGGCTGTGAGGATGCCGTGGGAGACTGTGTCAAATGCTTTACTGAAGTCAAGACAGACCACATCCACTGCTCTACCATCATCCACCCGCTGGATGATGTCCTCATAAAAGGCTATCAGGTTTGTCAAGCACGATTTCCCCTTAGTGAAGCCATGTTGACTGCCCCTAATGACCCTCTTATCCTTGATATGCCTAGAGACAGCACCAAGGATAAGTTGTTCTATTATCTTTCCCAGGATGGAGGTGAGGCTGACTGGTCTACAGTTACCTGGGTCTTCCTTCTTGCCCTTTTTGAAGACCGGAGTGACATTTGCTTTCCTCCAGTCCTCAGGCACCTCTGCCATTCCCCACGATTTGGCAAAGATAATGGCGAGTCGTCTGGCAATGACATCCACCACCTCCCTCAGCACCCACGGGTGCATCCCATCAGGACCCATGGATTTATGGATGGTCAGGTTGCTTAACCGGTCCCTAACGAAGTCCTCATCAACCAGGATAGACTCCTCCTCTATCCTGACTTCCTCAGGAGCCTCAGGGTTCCAGGGCTCATCAGGATAGCCTCCAGCAGCATAGACTGAGGCAAAGAAGGCATTCAGTAACTCTGCCTTCTTAATTTGAAAGTTAGGTAACCCATAACTACGTTAAAAAGCAAACAACAACTGACTATTTAATTTCACTTTCAAGTTCAGAAAAAAGTCTCCTGAAAGACCTGGAAAGAATGAAATGAGTCATGGCAGGTTTCTTCATGTGCCTTTTATTTATAGTAACACATAAAACAGAACAGGTTGGATACTTTTCAGTCTGAAGAACCTCCCAGGGATCTGCGTCCTAATGAAGGAAAGGGAGATAAGGAAAGCGAGCTGCCTGCCAATAGTTTTTTGTTCCTTCCATAGGGATCTTTTCCTCTGTTAGAAACTTCAGAGCTCTACACAGAAAGATTCTCACTCACAGTAGTTGCAAAGGCAGAGTAGGAGAGGTAATAGGAGGAACCAGGTGTATCATCAGTAACTGTGTGAACTCCATTGGCAACGTCAAGGGAACTGCTGGCTTTGCAGTTAGTGTATTCTTCACTTACAATAAAATTATTCACTCTATCCAGCAAGGTGCAAAAGGGGAGTGGAAGCAGGCCAGCACCTCTCAGAGCTCTCACTCTGCTCCTTCTGGGAGAGGAGAAACCCTTAGGAAGCGAGCTCATCTGATGTAGATTTATGTAAAGTCTTCATGGACATTGGGATATTAAGATGTGAACAAAATTATATTTCCATTAAAAGCCACTCAGTTACACAATGAAGTTATGGAACTTCTCTCCACCTTGAGCCATGTATGTCGGTTTAGCAAGCAATTATAATTCAAAGCATTGGCTCCATTTTTTGCCATACATGTCTGAAAGGAATTTTCAGTTTACCTCTGCTCAGCTCCAACACAATTACCACAAGATCTTATCTATAAAACTGCAGAGCAGCTCTCACCTGTTCATTAGGGTTTTCCATTAACTATAAAGTTGGAACAAAGGCACAGAAGGAAACACCATGGGTGACCATTTTCAAATTGCTGTGCAATTACTGAATTAAACTATGGTATTCTTTGCTTAATTATAAAAGTAGATCTTCTTCCTGAAAACAGAGATCTCTGTGTTTACATGTTCTTTGAGTTGTTCAGTACTGAATAATAAAGCTAAATTACTGTGAAGAAATTACAGGCAAAAATGGAAGAAAGCAACACTGAACCTTCCATGAAAATATAAATAATACCATGGAAGTAAATTGAGTGAGAAGTGTTAGTAACAGTTAGTAAGTTCAAGCTTTAACCAAAGTAACATGAGATCCATCTGACGAGGAGAAAAAAATACTAATAAAAAACAGTATTTATTGTTTGTTTCAACCACTGAACGAAGAGATCAGGACTTAAGAATTCTTATTCTGACATTGTTCTTCACATAGGAACCATCTCAGCTCAATTCCCTAGACTATGCATGATACAATGATCCAGAGAAATATCAATGACACTGAGACTTAAACAGTTAATTAGAATTTAAATTGGATTATAGTCATGTAACACAAAGAGAAGAAAACAAGCCAGCCTAAATAAATTGGGGGTGGTGGTGTTTGAGAATTTCATGGTGGAAAAGGTGGAGTGGAAACATGCCACAGATCCACATTTAATATTACAAGCATGAAAACAGCACTATTGCCATTCAAGAAAAATTAGAATGGGATAATTGTTCCATTTTACACTTAGCTGGGGTAAGGCTTTTGGCATAGATTTAGTTAAGGTTCTACTCTATAATAGTGGTTTAATTTTATCATTGTGTAATAACAAAGAAACCATGAAATATAAGTCTTTCAACAAATGTAGCAACAACATGAAAAAAAAGTAATTTAGTTAATTTATATTATATACAATTTCTATACAATTATTTCACAAATTATTTTATTAGATGATGCACTTCAGGTTTGTCTAAGCTGAATTTAGAATTAAGAGCAGTTCAAGTAATCTGACTATACAGACTATAAATAGATTCAAAATTTGTTATTAATCTGGAGGGGTTCTTTTGCAAACAATGAATGCTTCTAAATGGTCTAGAAACTAAAATTAATAAATTTTAAATAGGTCAATTTAAAACCGTTTAAAATTAAAGAGGGTCATTAAAAAAAAAAATACAGTAGTTTGTGTCTGGAGATGTTTTTTCAGGTTTCCCCTCTTCTCCAAATATTTTCCTTTTTGAAATTTGAATCTAGTGGTGCTGTTCTAACAACTGTACTGAAGCCACCAGATAGGATCCCCTGGACTGGGGAGTCTTCACAGGAGAAGTAATAAGGGTTATTCACTGTTGTTCCTTCCAAGAAGGTAGGAGTTAACTAGAAAAAGAAAATTTACTCAGCAATATAGGCAAGAAAAAATAAAATCAGTCTTGAAGACCATTTTCAGGGAGTAAGACAGAGATGCCAATAAACACGCCACCGGTCTCTCCCCTCAAAATACTCCAAATAACTCAAGTGTAACTAGTCAGCATTCAATGTCCAAGTTAATGTGATTTAATCTGATTACGAGTTCAAACTGCCCCCAGACATGCAGTCCTCATGTCATTTCTACATAAGGCTGTTAACTGCTATCCAATTTTCCAATAAATTGCTTAAGAGAATGATAATCAGCTAAAACACACCTGTACAGCATATGGCCAGCCAAGCAATTTCTTTGACTTACTGCATTATTTTAATTAGGCTGTTTTCCTGCTGGATTATCAGTTCCCGCTATAAAACGAGATTAACAAACCTGCTCCTGTGCTCTCCTCCACAGTACAGCACAGGTGCCACACTTTGCTGCGCTGCCCAGCATCCCTCCCGACACTGTGCTGGGTCAAACTCCTTTCATGTCAACTACTCCTGTAATCTCTCAGTCTTTCTTTTGGCTCCTTGATCCATTCCCATGGCTTCAGGCTGCAGCTGAATATTCTTCCTCTAGCAGCAACAGCAAAAATTATCCCATGTTCAGACCTGAGAGAGACAGGAATGCGCTCTGTAGCCCCTCCTGCTGCCTCAATTGTCCCTGGCCTCCTCAGGTTATTTGCAGCCAGCTCTGTGACCTCTTGGTGAGGAATTTATGGCAGTGAGACTTCTCTTCTCCAGAGTGGCAGGCTGGCAGCCAGGAGTCAAAGGTAGTTTTTGTTTCAGTCTTCTACTCAGATGGTTTTGGGGAATGATGACTTAAGACCCTCTCTTAACTAGAAAGCAATCAGGAAGGGCTTCAAACCTGACAGCGGCTGTAGGCCAACTGAGAGGTATGTGCTGGGTTTGTGTGAAGGGGTGCTGGTGGCAGGAGAGGGTATTTGCTCCCTGTGATTTCCCTGGTTTTAGAACCCATCTCTGGCCACCAGATCCGACTCCCATCCCCCTCGGGGTTGAGCCAATCAGTGCCTCTGTCAATTGCCCTATTTAAGTTGGGACAAAGGAACCGGAAAAGGTGCTTTGCCCGGGAGTGAGGAGGGAAGGGAAGAGGGCACTGCCCCCGCTCCCCAGCTCCCGGCCAAGCAGCTGCCCGCGCAGGGGGGGGGGGGGGGGGGGGGGAGCCGGCTGGGGAACTCGGGGAGCGCCCTGCTCCCAGGGTGCCGCTGGGCTGAGTTCACCCAGAGAGGACTGAGATCTGAGACAAACGGCCACACAGACACCAGGTCAGTGAAGATGGAACAGGACGAGGTGTGCTGGAGCTGAGTTTCCCCTGCAATCGGTGGCGAGATGGCAGGTGGACCCCTGCAGCCAGGAATGGCCTCAGTGGAGCAGAGACCCACTCACAGCCCGTGGAGAAGCCCACGCTGGAGAAGAGATGCCTGAGCCTGAGGACGGTCGTGGAGCAGGGGACGCACGACAAGGTAGAGACGCATCTAGAGTCCGTGTGACGACCCATGCCGGAGCGAGTGGCAACAACTCCCTAAGAATCTGTGACTGTGGTAAAAGTCTGCACTGGAGCAATCCGATGGGGAAGGATTGCGTCCTGCAGGTAGGACTCATGCTGGAGAAGTCTGTGGATTTTCCTTGTGAGTAGGGGATCCACTGGAGCAAGGGAAAAAAGGGTGTAAGGACTCCTCCTCCTTTAAGAAAAGGAGCGTCAGTAACAACATGGGATGAACTGACCCGCACTCTCTTGTTCCCTGTCCCCCTGCACTGCTGGGGAAGGAGGTAGAGCCGGGAAGAAAATGAAAGGGGGAGAAAGGTGGTGTTTTAAGATCTGGCTTTGTTTCTCTTCATGCTCTCAAGTAACTGTTAATAAATTTAGTTGTCTTGTTCCCAAGCCGAGTTGCTTTTGCCCAGGACCATGGTTGGCGGGTGCTCCCTCTATTCTTGTCTCAACCCTCAGTCCTTTTATTACATTTTTCTCCTCTCCACTTCACTAAGGGGAGGAGTGAGCAAGCAGCTGTGTGGAGTTTAGTTGCTGGAGCAGCCTAAACCACAACAAGGTAGCATGCATGGTGATAAAAACCCAGAAAATAACTAGATTACACATTCCCAAGAGAAGGAGCGTGAGAAGATACCCAACCTTAGAAGTATCTGTCCCACCGTCAGGAGCTACTGTTGTGCTCACCAGGCTACCTCAGGCTGCCTTGCCCATGTTTTCTTAAGCACAAGAAGTACCAGCCACACACTTCTTCATCACATGTTTAGATAACATGGATGCTAGTGAAGTGAAAGGAGGAAATAGGAACAAGGGAAACAACATGGTTAAGTTTTAATCACCATTTCAGGAACCTCAGGAAGACCCCCTTCTTTTGTTCACATGGAAAGCTCTAGAGGGTATTCATCCTGTTGTACATGATGCCACTAAAAGTCTCTGAAACTTCATTGTTTCTCTTCACTCAGGTTCCTGTACCCCTTCTGACCTCCTGATGGGTAGTGTTTAAGCTCTTACAGCACCAATTCTGGGATCTCTTACTTGTCAGTGACCAGTCATGCAATACACTGACCAAGACAGACAACAAACACGAAGATGGCCATGCCAGAGAGAAGATTACAGCCTGCCAAAAGTGTAGCAACTTTGTCCCCGACCTCAACCAAAAGCACACTGACTGTGGAGCTGGCCCTACTGTGACTACAGAAAGTAAACACAGGGACTGTCTTCAGGTTTGTTGTCAAGCTTGGGATTGACAATACTCTCAAAATGCAATGTACAGGCAATCTCTTTATCCACATGAGTGCCCTAGGACCAATTCAGGACAGCTATTCTGTTCATTTGGAGCAACTTCCTTTTCTGAGAGTGAAAATGAGGTGTCTACAATAGCCAAGTTTACTGAGGCCATATGACTAGTGAGACCTCATGACAGCCAAAACGAAGAGACTTGCCCTCTCCAAGTTGTAGAGAGCTGTCACATCATTGTAACTTGATAGCATCTCTAAATTTTGATTAGATAAGTTCATTGCGTTTCAGTATGACAGCTGAGAAACACATGGTATACCATCAGGCACAAGTAACTTTCCATTAATTTGCACAATTAATGACATTCTTTTCCTCTGAGCTCTCAGAACAACCAGCTACCAGAACAAAATGGAGACACATATATTAATTCAATCACTTGTACTTACTGTTACTGCTAGTGTTACTGCCAATGCTGTCATTCCTAAGGGAGCTGGCAGCAACAGGAGGAAACAAAAATGTTTTTGTGACAGCGACTCTGGAATCTAAATAGAAAATGATTGTGTCAGCATTACGTAACTTAAAATACAGTTCCCTCTGTATAAGATGATGGGCTATAGGGCTACTCTGATGTGGCTATACGGCTGTTTTAAAAATCTGGCTACGGGGCTGTTTACAGTGGATTAAGTCAAAAAAGGCAGTCTTATTAAGAGGCACATGTGGCTACACACTGAGCTGCTGCTGAATAGCTATTCTGGAAAAGCAATTGCTTTAAACAAGTTCTTAGGTTATGGCACTGGTATACTTTTAGTTACTACTGGTGTAACTGTGCAACTGGATACGTTGCCCTAATTAAAAAGCTAATAACTACCACTAGAGAGAATAGAAGAAAAAGAGAATATAAAACCTCCATTTACTGGAAGGATGAGAATGAAATGCAGGAGCCTGACTTGAGCTCGTTAGATTTTTTTAAATAAAGTAAACATGGCCCTTTTCAGTAGGGGTGGGATGAATACAGAGGTGACTCGAGGCTACTACAATTTACAACTTGTCCTAGCTTCCTATCCTTTCGGTAGTGCAATCTTAGGCTCCTTTACTGCCTTATAAAAATTAAATAGAGCATTAATAGAAGATAAGAAGAAGAACAATGTAAAAAGATGACCCAGGATATATTTGGGATGAAAAGAAACAGAGCAGAGTATTGTGAGGTTATTTGGATTACATTAAGGAATGATGTCACTAGAAACGATGGCACTAGTTTTACTGCCAGACAGAACTCAACTTAGAACAGAAATATAAGCTTCAGTATTGGTAGTAATTTTAACTGGCATTAAAAAGGAGACATGGAGATACAGTATCAGATCCTTAGCACCTCTGAAATCAAATGAAAATCACCCATTTATATCTACTTAGATTCTGTTCCCCCAGATGAGAGCCATCTTACCATTCTCTGGTGTTTCTACTGTCGAAGGCAGAATGCAATCATTCTTATCCAACGTGTCTGCAAACTCCTTGTAGACCTCAATGGTACTATTAAAGTGCCTAAAAAAGTCCTCAGGAACAAAGCGACCTTCTTCATAAAGGTGACCATTTTCTTTTACAAAATCCTAGGGTAAAGTATAGAATTTAGCTTGAAAGAAGGTCAAGAGAGATGTTCATTTCAGCACCTCAACAGACGATAAAAATATCCAAAGATGACACAAAATAGTTTGTTTTTAACCTACAGAAGACCAAATTTGCTGTACACAATCTTCATAAAAACACACAAGGCCTCTGATCTAAGGATTTCAAATAAGCTTTGCAAATAGAAATAAATTATTAATCCAGTGTTGTAAAACTGCCAAGGAATGTAAGGCAGTTGGTCATCCTATGCTGAAAATAAAGAGCCTTCTTTTTTTATTTCCCTCATTAAAAATAACTACCTTGATTTCTCATTACTTTGCAGTGTTCTACATGACCCTTTTAATCAGAGCACAGGAACACAACACAATCATAGCTATTGTCATAAGAGTACAAGGAATAGAATACAATAGCTGGGATACACTACTGCACAGAAGCAGGCTGAGATCCCTGATAACATATCTAAAAATAAGAGTACGACTATAAACAAGGACGTCAAATCACTCTGAGGTCTAACAGACAAGTGTGTTATGCCAGACTAAACAAGACTGAAGTCCATGTTAAGATCATTGATGGTTATCTCCTTTTTTTGTTCTTTTCACCTGACTTTGGCTTGGACAACAACTGTTTCATATGCCAGCAAGTTGAATTTGGCCTGGGGTTACTCCATACTCCCAAGGAGGACAGTGGTAAGAACATGGGTTAAATATGTACTAAGGAAAACTTCCTAGTTTTGGGTCCAAAATTATTTTATGTTTAATGCTGACAGTACTAGGCCTAAGATAATTCTTCTCAGAGGAAATCAATGGCTAGTTGTTTCTCTGAATTACAGGTTATTTACTTTTTCATTCTATACAACAAAATTCCTCTTCCCCAACCACATCCCAGCTGAGTGCCTTGACTCATCAGGCCAAGAATAGGGAGGAGAAAAAAAAAAAAAGAAAAAAAAAGAGATATACACAGAAGATTGGACAGAATTAAGTTTGAAATGGAAAGGTAGGGAATGTCTAAATACTTCAGTCCATTTGATTCATTCTGGGTGTTAAAAAGGTGCAATTACAACAGCTAAGGACTGACTTGACAAAAATAAGCGTATATGGAAGATGAAATCCTTGCCCAAAAGAACATGATGGATTTTGGCCATTTTGTTCTGTGAGACAAAACCTTTGACTACAGAACTTATTTTTAATTACTGATAGACTGGTTAGAGCTGGGTAAGGGATTAGAAAGTCAATTTTCCCCCATTATTTTCACCCAAGAGAATCAGACACCTCTTGAGTGAGACTCCTGGAATCCTTCCAGCTGCTGTCGGCATCCATGGAAATGGGCCGATATCCTCTAGTCTTTGCTGTGTCTTTGTATAAAAAAGTTCATTAAATCATAGTGAAGCTTTCAGAGTCTCACACACTGTGATAAATATTAAGAGTATATTAATAGCTTCAACCACATAATCTTTAAATTTACATTAGGATTACTAGCAAAATGAGTAACTTAAGATGGATGCACAAGGAAGATTTCTGCAAGTTTCAAACAGACCAGAATGAATTAATTATCTTAAGAATGACAGTTACATTTTTGACTACTTAAATAACTGTATACAGGTCATTGTATATACTGTAATTCCTTGTAAGACATGTTCCTTTGAAAGAGGAGATAACTAGCCAACATTAGCACGGCATACTGAGTGCATTTCTAAACAAAGCAGGATTTCAGATGTACAGGACTAGAAATGAGAACAAATCTAATGGAGCTTTGGACGTCTTTAAACTTTTACTGAGTACTGTGCAACAGAAAGTTCAAACAAAAATATCCAGCATAAAAGTAAAAACTCTGTATTAGATTACCTTATTTTTATCAAAAGCTAGACATGCCATAAGGTCATTAATTATCCTTGTGAGATTATTGATGATTGAATAGTTGCTTAAAACATCGGACATATCCGAAATATCTGAAAACTTCTGGAGAAGATTATGTAGACTCCTTGAAAATTCAGGCACCATCAAATGCAACCAACAGTGATTAGGCTGTCAGGGAATAAAAAGAGAAACAGAGAGGCAGATTAAATGTCAGACTTTTGCAAAAACTGGTTAAGCACCTCAGTGTGCAAAAGTAAATTTAAATTGAAAAGAACAGTATAATTATCTTGAAAGTCTAAATTAAAATTTGTCTTACTTAGTGTGGCCAACTTTCTCTTCAGTCCTTTCGGTAAAATTTTTATTCTCGCTAATACAGACATATTTATGGTTGTCTGTTAAATGCCATCTCTTAATGAATACTAAGCATCAGTTTGTCAAGAATTTAAGCCTTGGGACATGCTACTATGAACCCTCTTCCATGTTTTCATTAACCTATATATTTTTTTTCAAATAACTACTGCTTTAACAATCTTCTCCAGACTTTCTTTAAACCAATTTTAGTTTTCATTTTATTATTGTTACCATACATGACTCAGTTAACCCCAAAGATCCCTGATTTAAGTCTCTTCTGAGGAAGGTTTTGGTGTATGTTTTCCATTAAATCCAGCTGTGCTTTTCTCCACCTTTAAACTAGTTAGCTCAGTTAACTCCTTCTCTTCAGCTTTTTCACTAAATGCCATTCCTGAGAAGAGTTTCTAGATCTAAAATCTTTCTTTCCCTGAGTTTTCACCAAAAGGGTTCTGCACAGCCTGTTGCTGTATCTGCCACATCTGTACCACTGCAATAGAGTTCAAATCTTTACTGACATCTACGCAATTCGTTTGCAGATAAAGCTTGTACAGCTGTTCATGTGACTGAAGCCTGGTCATTCACCTTGCTGCCTTATAGGGAGTAATCAGCTTCTTTTACTTAGATTTACTTAGATTAGTCAAGTAAAGAAAAAGTCACTCAGCTCAGAAAAACCCTAAATAAATATGATCAGCAAAAACACAGGTAGTGCTCTAGTCCCAACACAACATGTACCTGGAAATCCCTTCCCAATAAACGCTGAATTTTAACGGTAAATGTTATGGGAATTTATTCCATGTATGAAGCTATTTTTTCAACAATTGAAAATGACTCAGGATCATTAAAGCCTGCCAGCTATGAAGGTCTTGTCCCAGCAACCCCATAGTACTCTCAGTATCACTAAACCAGTTTCCAGTTGCTGCCCAGTGTCCAGCATCCACTGAATCCATCCACTCCACTTTCTGCAATGCATAGTAAATGTTTGGCAACGTATCCGCTCCTAAACTTAATCTCATTTTACTCAATCTCTGCAATAAACCTGCATACAGATTTTTTATTCAAAAAAATTCATCCACTACTACCGATATAACCACTTGGCAACAAATGACCTTCTTGGTGACACAGGTGTTGTTCCGTCTTGATGTGTACATGTTTTTGATGAGGAAAAACACACTTCACGCTTTGAAAGACTAGCCAGACTATTAGGCTTCCAGGCTTAGAGAACTGAATGAAAATACGTTGTTCAGCCCCATCTGACTTTTCACTTCTGTGTACAACTCTATCACACACTGATAACAAATGGCAAGACAGTATTATCACCTTCTGTAACTATCTCAACAATGACTTAAAAAAATCCGTGAAATGGACGGTGTTTGGCTTGATTCTCTGCTTCCCCTTTTTCCTTCAAGCACAAGAACAGAAGAGGCAGAAATGAATAAATCGGAGAAAGCTTGTTGAAACATACTCTGTTTAAGCACCATGCGTTGTGCCATGTCCCATTGCCCTCATGAGACAGACAACGCATTTTCCTCTGCTTTGGCGTAGGACACAGAACTTCTGTGCTTCCCTGAACTGCAAACCTGGAAACTCTTTTCCTCTGAGGTTTCGTGGGTGTGCGTTCTCCTCTGGCAGGGACTAGCAAAAGCTCTCCGCTTCTCCTAGTGAGCATTTGGCGATTCCAGTAGGGAATCTGTTTTGTTGCTCCCACGGTTTAGCATGTGTGTGGGAGTCTCCTCTGAACCGTTCTGACCTACAAAGCTGTATTTCACGAGAGCTTCAGTTTTTCTTTTCAGTAATATCAAGCTGTGCAATCGCTTGCTATTTCAATACCTACCAAACACAGGGATGAAACTGCTGAAATCCAGAAATGTGACGTTTGCAAGGAGAAATGGAGGTTTAACTCTGCTTTCTTGTGTAAACTCAGACCAAGATTTACATTTTAGGACAACTGCACACCTGACTTCTCTTGTACTGCCAGGTAGCTTTTTCTTTCCACGTCTATCTAATAGCTTCAAGTTTATCTCCTCTTCCGAGTTCAGACCCTGCTGCTTTCATCTTTGCCTTTTAACCTCCAGGTTCGACTACACAGCTCTCTCCATGCGAAACTACTTTTAAAGTCACTCGGATGCCTTGAGCTAGTGCATAATGCAACAACCCTTCAGTTTAATGGATCGGGTCAGTCTGTTCCTGTTACATGCACTACACTGGCTTCCCATCTGCTTTGCATTCACCCTGCCTTTCTACCTTTAGTCATCTACATTTGAGACTTGCTGCCTTGGCTACATTTCCCACTTCATGCACGCACGGAAGATTGAAATCTATTGGAAAAAAAAAAAATTGCAGAGCGCAGTTTCAGTCCTTTCAGAGCTGAACAAAGGGCATTCACCTTACGCAAAGCTGTGGGTTTCTCAGCGTTCAGGGACCTTGCAGAACCCAGAGCAAAACCTATCAGCCTTTGCTATGGTATGTCTTAACACAACCTGAAATCTCCAGAGAGGAATTTGGCAAAGTGGGATGCGAATACCACTGAACACTTCCTCCTTCGAAGGCATGTGGCCAAGAGCTGCGCCTTCCATCACTGTGACTGAAAGTGGCCTATGAGCAAAGGGAATATGGAAATCCCAGCTCTGAACTTCTCTTCCTCCTATTTAATTCTTGGCTGCTTGTCATAAACATAAACTGGATCTAAGTTTCCAGATATGATGCAGCAAGATGACACGGCATTTAAACTATAGAAAAGAAACAGCGTACTGGCAGCCAAAACCGAACCGTGGAGCAAGGTAAGAGTTAAGCAGTGAGAATGACCAGGACTCATCGCTCAAGCAGGCTCCCAGGCCGCCTTCATCCGCAACACCAGCCTCCCCAGGAGTGCAGCAGAGGGAACAGCCTCAATTCAGCCCTGCTTTCGCACATCAGCTGCCACGCGCATCCCAGAGGCTGGGGAGCAGCCCTCGGTCTATGGCTGTCCTCCGCAGACGTGAATCTCATCACATCAGGCACCAAAATAACCAAATTTCTAAAAGCACCACAGCCAGGAGATGGTGGCGGCCAGTCTTGCTTCCTTTTTCTGTGTGTTCAGAAATTGAATTTTTTCCATTAGTTTTAATTATATTCTATAGTACTTGACTTCCATAACATTTGTTCTGCAGATTTTTTCTGTCTAAGGAATCAAGTTTAAACTGGGTTTTCTAAAGCACTCAGTTTTAGTAAAAGCCTCAAGCTTCCAATAAAAGCCTCAAGCTTCCAACAAAACTCATAAGAATACTGCTAGATCTGCCATTAATACCTCATAACCTCACAGCTCAGGGCTCTTCAGTACCCCACAGCCTCCTTTTCCTCCAATCATCATCTTGTTATTCAGGACTGAGAGAATGTTGCTTCTGGCATCGTTCTCCAATATCAGCAGGGAGTATTGCTAGATTTGCTGCAATGTTGTAGGATACTATGCATTTTTATATGTGTATCACACACAAATTGGATTTTCATAATGAAAACTTTGTACAGATGCAAAACCAGCTTCTTACATCTACCAGATGATTTCCAACTAACGATGTATATGTACAACAATTCATTCTTAAGACAGGCATGATATTGTTCAGTTTAAGTGACAAACTAGTCCTTTTCTTACTTTTTTCCACTCCTTAAAACAGTATAGTCAGAATAGCTTTCAGCGTAATTTCTTTCACCTTGTTTCGTCCTCTCTTTTTTCTTGCAGTGTATGCAACAACCAAGAGAGCGTTTTCAATGCATCACTCTAAAAATAGTTTTTTTTTTTTAAATGAAGGGAAAACCTTGAAAATATTTAGCAGAATAAGCAGGAAGATAACATGAGGAAGTTTTTAATACAAATATTTTAAAATTTTAAAGAAGGTGGATGAAGCTTATTTAAAAATATCACCATGTATTAACTATGAGATTATATAGAAAGAATAATATAAAGCATGTTTGAATGAAATAATGTCCTCACTTTCTACCCATCTGTTTAGTTACTGACGCTATCATATGCTGAACTTAGGGTTCTCTTTATTGGCTACTCAGTATTTGTTGTGCTTCAATGGCCTTTCCACTGGCTAAAATGAGGACATTCTACACAGTATATTCCAAAGTACAATTAGAAAGAAACTACTTCTTTAAGAAAGCAACAACTATCAATTGACACGATGAAATAATACTGTAGTTTCACTTTTTCCAGAGGAGAGGTTAAAAAATTTTATATGAAGAAACATTTTTCTAAGATCCCTGTAATTAAAAAGGTTTTAAGCGACTGCAGGAATCTTTTTGCATTTCTTTTAAATGAATACTTCAGAAGCATATGAAAAGTGAAATAACCATTGCTTAACCTTAATTTAATAAGCCATAGGACTAGGTACAAAAAAGTTACAGTCATCACTGGTTCCAGTGGGCTATTTTATTGTATTAACATGAAGTCGTTGTACATACCAGACTATCCATCTTCGGGACATATTTAAGGGTTATCATATAATCATTTGGGAGATTTCCGACCTACAATAAACAGATAATAAAAATGTTATTACTGACTACACAAAGTAAGAATTTCCATCGCTGTATTCAGCAAAATCTATCAAATATTCACCATAAATTTTCAGTAACCTACCAGGTGCAAAAGCTTACATACTCAGTCTCCTGTGGAACTGCTACTGACTCTTGTTTGCTCATAAGTGAAGTATCTTTCCACACCTCTGTAACATTCCTAGATCTGATCTTATGATGTTCAATGCTACCACTTCCCAACAGAATTAAAGTCAGTAATGGGTGAGGAGAAGAGATCTAAGGTTATTAATCACTGCAGAAACTCCACTACATTTTCACCTTTTAATGCCAGATCTTGAAGTGTTTATGCGACAATTTCTATGTAACCCCAACCACTCCGAACAGTAGAGGACCCAGTAGTCTCTAATTTTTTTTTCTTCACGTAATTTCCAACCTCAGCAAGCATCTGCAGCTAAGGAAATACTTGCCTGCCTTGTGCTTAGTTCTGGACCAGGTCAGGAAAACACTTGAGCACAACTTTAACTTTGAAGCTGTGCCTCTTACTAATGATAAGCAATATTATTGTATCATAGCAATGTCCTGGGGCAAAGGAGAGCTTCTGCACACGTAAGCTGAGCACGGCTTTGCAGATGTGGGTGAGTACTAGGTGTGCTGAAGCAAGGACAAGAAGTGGAAGAAGGGTTCTCACTGCATTATACAATGCAATTTGCCACAGATGGGATCCCACACTACCATGAGACGTGGTTAATCATCAGGTGAATGTGCTGAGTGGGGAGACGAAGAGGGAGATGCTGCTACGATCCACAGTCTCTTGAAGTACTTTTTTCAAAAGGTTTACCAATACTATGATGCTTAGTGATACAGCAAATCTGTTTTCTTTTGTAACAGTGAGAGACTCAATAGGTATTTCTCATCCTAGTTTGAAATCCATTTAGTCAAAAGACAATAAGCACATACGCAATTCCTTTGGTGAACCAGAATCTACACTTTGTTCGGCTAAGCATTTCTCCATCTTCAGGTTAAAGATCATTCTGTCATGGCTGCTTTTGATTCTGCTGCTATAGCAACTGGCACAGGGATTATTTTTTTTACTGTGCTGTTTTTAGGTAGTATTTTGTTTGACACAACAGAATGTTCTATTTGTTAATTAAAATTTAGTTTCAATTAAAAATTAAAACAGCAATTTCAAAATGTTATGGTTCTAGAAATGATCAAGGACAATACTTAGGCACAGTCAGTCACTAGTGAATTCCAAACACTTTTTTATTTACATCGTGGGCTGAGCCACAATCTTTCAGTTCAATGACATCTTGCTTCTTCCTACAACTTTAAAATCTAAGTTTTTTACAAAAGATCTTGGTAAATTCCTTTCCACAAATCAATTTTCTTTTTTATTTTTATATCTATGCGTTCCCAAAGCACCAGCTGCAAAAGTGCCACTAAAATTCTCTACATCAATTCCTATTTACCTGGCATTTTGGGAAGTTGATTCAAGATACTATAAATAGGAAGAATATTGCAATACATTTGTTCTTTCTTTAGAGTATCTGATGTTTTCTAAATCCTCATACATAATTTTTTGTATATTTTTCCTTCCTTTAAAAACATCCTGACATCATGACACATTTATAGGTAATCCAGTTTCTTTTCCAGCTTCCTTTGCGTGCCTAGAGAGGTAGGATTAGCAGCACTTCAAGCAGCAGAGATCACGAAGATGGTACTGCATGTACAAAGTTTCCCATACTCACTCTAGAGGGATTCAATACTCAGCAATGTCAGCAGAAGCACCGTTCTTTAAGAAAGGTCACTGGAAGATTAAATTTGTTCTAAATCAATGAACACTACAAGAATTGATATGCATTATGTATACAATCTACTTCACTGGCATCAGAGCCTCTCAAGCACATTTCATGCACAGTTTTTTTGAAAAAAAAAAAAAAAGTAACTGCCCAAGAGCTCTCGCAGCTTCTCAGACAAAGTTGGAGAACACAGCTCAGCCTCAGATATTTTTCTCCTTGACAGACTGTGAATCAGAAAAGATATTTTTGAATTTACTACTAAAAATGGAGATCACTAGGGGGAAGGGTGTCAAACACAAAATATATGCCCTGCCTCAAGATGAAGCAACTTGTTAAAGTTTTATTGATTAAACTCCACATGCCAGATGCTCTGCTGATGGTAAATGATGGAACTCAGTCAAAGTGAGGGAGTTATATTTGTGTCCCAGTTGGACTTCCCAGCTCACACACAGAAAATCCGGTAGAGCCCCTGATGTAAGAGTGAAGTGTAAGTTTGTACTAAATCTGTGCATTTTGTACTCTCTTGCTTTCCTGATATGAATCTTGAAATTTTCTTGAAGGTTAACCACCAAGACTGTGATCCAAAACCAACCAGTTGAATTTCAACTGCTGAAATCATCCTGAAAGGAATGAAAGGACTCTTCATACCCACTCTTTGTGGGATGCCTGACTGCTGTGGCTCTCAACAAGGAGCAGAGGACGAGGTTTTTGAGCTGCCTGAGCAAAGGAGGATGGAAAGGGACTGTCCCTTGAAACTCCCCAAGTCCTGGAATGGCTTTTTTGGTTTCTGTACTCAACTCCTTAAGTAAAGTGACAAATTTGAGGGCAACAAAACACCTGCCTGCATGACTTACCTTGGTTTAGACAAGCGTAACAGTTTTGATGATTATAGAGAATGTCTACTAATAATCTTGGAAAGTAAGGCACAGAACTAAAAGAACTCTGCATTGCAGTTTAAATGCCACAAAAAGTTTCTGTGATTGAGTGGATGTGTGCTGTAAAAATCCTATTAGGCTCTGAGAAGAGGTAAAGAACAAGGAATATAGACTTGTATCTTTAAATCCATATAAAACCAACATTTAAGTGCTATATTCCCAGTTGTAGCAAAATCTCAAATTGGGAATGTAAGATTCCTTTTGACATACAGAGTTCTAAATATTTAATACAGCACTGTTAACATTGCATAACCTAAATATACTTTTAAAATATGCTCATGGTCACACAGATGGGGAGATGGAAAAAGGATATTGTAAAAACAATTTGGGTTCCATAAACTACTCTTTCATCGCAACGGCAGAACATGAGAGATGCTTTATCTGTGCAGTTAAGTGCTTTGAAATGAGGGCTACTTCTCTTGAAAATTCTCTTTATTGTGACTGTTCTGAAAATTTTATGGAGACAAGCATAGATATCTTTTTGTTTGTTTGTTTGTTTGTTTTTACACACAGCTCAAATATAAAGTAAGTTAATAAAGTAAAAATTACCCTTTATCATTGTTAGTGATTTCTTTTTTACTCTGAGGCATAATGATAAGAAAAACATACTTTCCTTTTGACTATTATTTCTATTTCCCATTTCTCTCTGTCATTCCCCTTTTCCTATTCTTGAATACCTCTGCATCTCCCTTCTTTGCATCCTTTGCTTTTCTTTTCCCGCAGGAGCTTCCACTTTCTGTCCATCTCATTTGCTAATGAAGCAGTTAATAAAATCCTCATCATCTGGCTTAAGACAACATGCTAATGATTTCTGTTCACACTTCTTACAGCCATAGTGGCAGATTATTTGCAGGATAAAAACGCTGGATCATTTTTTACAACCTCTTCTCTCAGGAGAGTTAGATCCATTTAAAAATAAATATCAAATGTTGCAGAGAGTGTAAAGTATACATTTACAGCTAAGATGCAATGTGAAGGCAAAATGTTTGAAACAGCATGTCTCGAACAAGCAACCTAGTCTGCAAATGCTGACTATTGTTTGAGCTTCTAACATTCAAAAGAAAAAAACTGCTTTAGAGAAGTAGATTGTGGAAGAAGAGGTGAATATCTTAGATTTTGTTAATGGATGAAACCAAAATATGTAGGTACATTCTACATATACTACACAGCTCAGTGAAAATTCTACTTATATGTAGGGTTGATATTCATATTTAACAAGCATATATAAAACAGATTCCTAATTCTTATGCAAAATCAGAGTCACAATTACAGCAATGCAGCTTTCTGCCAACTTACTGAGGTGATAAGAACAATGGAGACAGGCTTTATTGACAGGTGCTGCAATTATAGTTTTGTAATATGAAACATTGTCTCATCAAGTAATGTGTTTCCTTCCAGACATCTTCATTAAAAAAGAAGCAAGTGATTAGTCATGCGGAATGTAAATAATTTCATTCTCTATAGGTATGAAATAACACTGTTTTAAAGTTCTCACTATTAAACAACAAACAAAAAAATGATTGTTCAATTGTTCTTCGCTTCTTAAAATCATTTTACTTAGGACACTTTCTTCATATAACAAAATTATATTATAAAAAGATTTGAATAAATTTAATCTTCCAGAAAATAAGTCATTTTTGTATGAACAGATACCAGTCTGGTTTGGTCTTAGGTTGATTAATGCTCAGAAACCTTATCGCTATTGAACCTGCTCCTTTTTTCCGATTCCAGCTTCTGGTATGAGTCTAGTATGATGCTAGTGAAAATCCAGATTAACATCACCGAAAACAAGTTACACTGTACACCTGTCCTCAATTTATTACTCAAGACAAAGTTGATTAGGCAAATGACCCACATTTTCAGGCACTGCACAGCGTGCCTTATTTATTCTCCAACAGCTTAGGCTTAGTAGACATCCCTGGTCTATATTCATAGAAAGCATTAACTGAGGCAAGTTCTTCTCATATTCCTAGAATGAAATACTGTCGAGCAGAACACAGCCGCAGCCATGCATACCAGTGATATAGGGGTTTTACAGTACTTGGAACAAGAAGCCCAGAACCAAATAAATGAAGACTAGGTTGGATCAAGCTACAGGCAAAAGAGTTTGGTAGGGAACTGTGGTACATTTTCACTGGCTGCAGGTGAATTGCAGTAGAGGCAAGGAAGAACAAAGCAGGAAATTCATGGATTCATGCTGCAAAGAATTTTAGCATGAGATATAAAGAGGATGAGAATCTGCCTGGAGTTCATCAAG